ATGGATCTTCTGTGTGTCTGTAGTTGTCACCAGCACCTTTGAGAAGCCAAAGCAAACTGATACACGCTTAGCACAGGAAACAGATTGGGAAGAGTCAGGACAGTATAGCCCAGAAAGGCACAATAAACACAGGATGAGTTGTTTCAGGGAAGCATCCACCAAGAAAACAAACTGTGCAGATATAAAGGAACAAGAGGGGCAGGTGGCAGACTTATCTGCACCAAACTAAATTGGAGGCTGGTGAACGCAGTGACCGACGGGGACCATGCCAAAGTGCTTAAGAGTACTGACAGTTACAGGTGAGAACAGACAAGCTACAAAGGACAGTGTCATTTGCAAGAATGTGAAGTTTAGAGCCTAGTGGACACCATGAAAAAAGTCAGTTGTCACAGCTTTTCTACTTGATTAAACAAAGGACAGACGGAAAATGAGAACATGGAAAAGGAGAGAGGAAGAATCTAAAGAGACATCACATGTAATTGTCAAGGTTTGAAAAAGAAATCCAGAAGGGAATGAAGGGCTACTCATAAAAAGGTATTTAGGGAACTTGTTACAAGTACTACTGCCATTCACCAGACAACATTTGAGACAGTGAGACTCTGAAGTTTAATTATTTACTGAGCACCAGTTGGATTACTGAATGAAATGATTACGTTGATAACCAGGTTTGTGGTTTCATGAACCACAAAAGGGGTGGGGAGGGGGAACCAAAATGAAATGAAATGCTCCAGAAAGAATGCTGTGCAATCCCAAAGTATTGGGTGCCACATCTCATACAAACTCCAAGAGTTTGATGTCTTCAGCCAGAGTTTGAATTAGCAGCTTCATACCCATGCGTGGACACCTCCCAAATCCGTAGTAGCTGAGGTAGTTGCAACCATCAACAGAAAAAATTCTAAAGGCAGGTTAAGGCCAGGAAATACCAGGTCAAGCATTCAGAAGCCAGTCCTGACATTTCCAACACGGCTGTGGAAGCTGGCAGACAGTTTCCGAGAACCAGTGTTCCACATCCTGGAAACTCCCCACTGCCAGCAGCTCCCTTGCTTGAAAGGTAGGGCTATAACAGAACAATGTTCTCCAACACAAAGTGTACAGGTTTAGACAGTCAAATCCAGAAGCCAGAGGGTGATTTTCAAATTATAGCTATGTAGAGGATTAACACAAAGTTGGAGTATAGATGCAGCAGAAGAGGAGATGTGGTGGCACTTACTTCACATTCACGCTTGAAGGGAAAAAAGCTGCATAATCAGTTTCCTTTACACTCTGAACAATTAGCATGTAATCAAGCCTTACAAGATACTTCAATGAAATACGGTTGCAAGCTGTTTCCGCAAAATTTTTTGCTAATTAGCCATACAAACGATGTGCACAGAATTTAAATACATTGGTTTCCTATTAATCTCTAGAAATGGGGAGTGCAGGAAGACAAGTGGATTTCTTTCACACTGTTAATGAAAATTTAGGGAAAAAAAAACATGTTATAGATGTATACTGCCCCATCCAAAAGGAAAGGGATGGGCTGCCATACCTCCTATTCTAGTTATATGCTGAGAGCCCCACCTCTAACCTCTACATCTCTCAGGTCAGACCAGTGAGGTAATGGTGAGCTTTGCCCTTGTGAGCTTTTTGATAAGAATAAGCCAGCAGACTGATACTGCACACTATGCTGACATAACATCTAGGTTGTACAAGAAGACTTACTTCCATGTTTTGCTGAATTGTACATTACTGTGCAACAGGAATGCACTTCAGGCACTGCAGAATCAATCACCTGCATTTTGCTCTCTCATGGTGGGGCTGGAATTTAGATTCTGAAAGTTTCTAAAGTCTGAAAGCTTTGAGCACTGCAGAAATGCCAATTTTGATAAAACATGCAGAGCTCAAGAATGAAGGTGAAGTCACCAAAGGAAGGCCCACTGTCCCTTGCACCAGCCTGCACCAAATACATTTATCAAGATCTCAGCATTCCAGAGGAAAGCAAAGAGCTTAGGGACTATATCCAACAAGGGCTCATTTACACAAGATGTTTACTGTGTAGCTGACTAATTAGCTGCACAGTACACCATCTTGGCATCTACACACGCACCCTTATTAGGCTGGACTAAATTAATTTATTCCATATGATAGCACTTGTATCAACAAGTGCTATTCTGCTGCAGAGGAAAATGTGTAGATGGACTGGGGCACAAGGGTGCTTCAGTGCAGGGCTGCACTTCTAGCCCTGCATTGAAGTTCCCTTGTGCCCTAGCTAGTCCCTCTACAGCACACTGAGCCAGGAAGGGGTGGGGGTGCCAGCCAGGCTAGGTTCTACCTAGGCTCCACATGCTGTGCCTGAATAAACTGCGGAACTCGTTGCTCCGGAGTTACTTGCTCCTGGGCACACATTTATATGGTGCATCCAGGAATAATTAACTCTGGAGCAATAAGCTCCACAGTTTATTTCAGGCACTGTAATTGCAGATGTAGACATGGCCCAAGAAACTTAGGTGCCCCAAGGCAGGTATCATAGTATCTAACTTACAGGCTCCTGGTTTCCAGTGGAATCCAAACCTCAAGAATCAAACACTTCTGCTCCTCACACAGCACATGGGCACAGCACGGTGCCTCAGAAGAGCAGTCAGAAAGCCTGCACAGAGAACAAAGCACCTAACGCTATCCGACAGGAGATGCTAAGCACTAAAGGGGTGCACCTGAACTCCTCCCCCTGTCCCCCTAGGGTAGGGGCCTAGCTCCACTCCTTCCTAAAAAATGTGGCAGGATCATTCTTTTTATTCAGATGCAGCTGTGGTACCTTCCTAAGTGTTTAGTGGTTAGAGCGCTTATGACCCTTTTCAGTCTGAGGAGGTTCAAACCCACATGGCTCAATCCCAGGGCAGGCTGCAAGGGGAGGGGGGGCAGCTTTCCACCCTCCCTACTGAATCTGGGACACTGCAGAACACAGCGTATAAGGCTCGGGTTCAGCAAGAGAACTCAAAAGGGAACCAGATGCTGCAGCCTAGTGATTAGGGTGCTCACTGATTGGGGGAAGATGAGATGATTCTGTTTTCTTTAAATCCAGCAACTCTTTACTAGGAAATGCATAACTAGTTATGTGGGCAGGGACTGGGAGCCCAACCTCCTGGGTGAGTGAGCCATTCTCCTGAGAAACAGGGCTTGTTCATCCAGGCACACAGCCATAGCTATCATGCTTCCAGTTGCAGGAGTAGCATGCAGAGCTACCTCAGAGTGTTTCTGCCCAGCACTGTTTTGTGCTGTATACTTCCCTTTAGTCTTTTATTAGATCTAGCTGTAAGTCACTAGTAAAGCGCCTCCGAGCACTTTATCAGTGTAATCAGTGCTAATCAGTGTAATCCTCTGCATATGAATCAGTCACTGAGGCAGACCATCTAATCCTAGAGTGTTTATTTCCAGGATATAAACATTAAGAGGCCATAGTCTTTTAAAGATCCTGTACTTGACCAGCTGGGACCATCTCAGGAATGCTCCTTATGAATCAGGGAAAGGTTGGATGCCTTCATTGCTCAGATACCAAAATGGGATGTGGGTGCAGTGCCCAGCTCTGTCACAGACTTGACTTCAATCAGGCCATATTAGGAAGGGAATGCAGCTCCTCTGCTGAAAAATTACAATAAATACCTTCTTCCTCTCACGCTTGTTGGGCATGTCAGGCAAAACCTTGTCCTACCCTACTCAGGTGCCTGAAAAATCATTTTAAAAGTGTTCTCCTCCTCAGGGTATTTTTGTGACTGAATCTTAAGGCTAAGATGACAATGATACATAACAAAGGTAGGTGCATTAAACACCAATTTCAAGGACCTATGTAGGGTGGGATCGGACACTATTCTACCTAAATATGATCCTACTCACGCATCTTACTATGCATTTGTTCAGCGTCTAGGAGGAGGAGGCCACTCACTGTGCTAGTCTTGTCTAGGGTCTTAATACCCATTTGAGTACAAATAATTTTACAGTTTTTATAAAAAGAGTTTGACAACTTTTATGCCCGAAAAAGGCTTTGGGTTAGGTTGTTATAATTCAAGCTTTACCCTGATGAATGCCTTGATGAATACAGTACTTTAAATGAGGAACCTCAGGGTATTTCCATTTCGTGCTTGCAACTACTCTGGAAACTTTATATGAAGCTAGTTTCCTTAAAATGTCTCTTACATGTTACAGTTGAGTTCTATTCTCTCAAGGCAACACATCAACAGTAAGCATTCACTCCAACTTCTCTGCTGTCTGCAAAGTCAACATAACTTTCAACAAGAAAGAAGCAGGTCAAGCGTTAGTTTGATCAAGTGCAGAAGTGACCCCATAAGGCTAAAAGATGCTAATTTACAAGCCTTTCATTCCAAGAAGGGCTGCCAAGAGCCAGCATGTCATTACTTTCTTATTAGATTGCTGCAAAGGAGATCTGCTGTGCTCAATATTGATGGTTTCACTAATCATGGAATGACAGCTACAGGCACTTTGATAAATGGATTGGAGAGCTCTCCCAGCAGGTTTTAGAAGTGTTTGAGTGTCCTGCAATTCCCTATAGCAGCACCAAGTTCCAAATATCCCTGTATTTCCCTCAGTGCCACATATTCTTCAAAAGCAGGAAGAGTACTGGGAATACATGCCAGCTCACTAATGCCCTCCACAATAGACAATGCACCACCATGAGGAAAATTGTGTCAAGCCAGGATTCTGATATTAATAATTTAGATTAAATTCTGTGGGTCACAGGTTGCTCTGTCATGCACCTCTATAGTGCAAGGAAGCCTGAAGGTCCCCTGAGCACCAGAAAACAGAAAAAAAAAAAACCCTGCCAAGTTGTAAATAAAGACTGAGCCATCCACTTGACTCTTTAGTTTTACCTCTCAAGAGAATACCGTACCAAATATTTATACCCATGTTTAAATGCATCCTCTGCCACTCTGGTACAGCTGGTGCAACAGCTTAGTTCTAGTCGCCACAACATAAAACAGATTGTGATATAGCTGCATTAAATCACTCACTCTTTGGTCAGCAGCGGGCAGGATTTGAGCAGGAAGCGGGACAGTGCAGTGTCCTGGTAAATGAGATCCGGAGGGGCAGTTGGGCTCTTTAGATTCAAGCAGCGAACAATAATGTAGAGAACAGCAGCAACTGCAGCCAGCTTCACCCCATCAAACACTGCCGGCAGCTCAGGGGTTTCCAGCATGGCACTCATTTTGAACCTGAAAACAGGTGACAGTGACATTTAAACTGACATATCCATACAGAAAAGCCTTGCAAGCGTGAACTACAGAACTACACTGACCACACTGCTGTTAGGAAGACTTTGTTGTCACGAAGGATTCAACTCAGACAAGCAATATTTAGAAGTGCTCAGAAGTGTTCTCATACCACTCTAGGCACCGTGGGGAATAGACACTCTGATCAGATAGGAAGGGAGATTTATTCCCAGCAAGTGTTGAATTACAATTTAAACAAGATGGGCCTCTTCAGTGTCAAAACACAGAAGACACTGTTTTTGGGATCTTGCAATGAATGCCCAGCTCATTTAAAAAAAAAAATGGACATTGCTGAGCTATAGGAAGAGACAAGAAACCATGGTACACTCACACTGTAATGCAAGCCATACTCCTATGGAGCATGCTGTGGAACCAAATTATTGCAACCAAACCAAATGCTCCATATTGCTCGAGGATATGGACACTGCAATATTTCTTGTGGGCATTTCTAATGGAACTTGTCACTAGGGCTGTGCGAAATGGCACCGTTTTGTTTCACCTTGAGTTTCCAACAGAACAGCATTTTGTATGAAATTCCAGTTCAATTCAGAACAGCTGTCCCATTTTGCTTCATCAAAATGGTGAGGCTGTTTCAACGTTTCACTAGATCGACAGGGGATAGGGAGTCAGCCCAGCTGAACTGACTTCCATCCCCAGCGATATGGTCAAAACGTTGACTAGCCTTATTTTGTTTTGACTTTGCTGTTTTGACCTTGAAATGAGTCAAAACAGTGTTGAAACAAAACGGCCAGTGAAATTTCACACAGCCCTACTTATCACCCTAGAAATCATGGGCTAAAACCCAACAGAGAAGTGTTGGGCAGAATTTCAGGTTAAAAGAGTCCCGTTCATTTGTTTATTCATAACAAAACACTGTTTGGGCAGGCAGACACTGCTAAGCCAAAGAGCAAGAACCAAATCCCTTCTCGCACTGAGCTTCAATTATAAGAAGAGATTAAAGTGAACACCCCTTCTGGTTGTTTGGTAATAAAGCTGTCAGACTGATCAGACCTACTGCCCACGCAGACCTGTATTATATCTCTGGACACAGTCAGCACCATCCACTTCATTGGAAATTGCAGGAAATCTAGCAGCAAGCAGATGTCTTTTCTGATACCAAAGGCTCTTTGGTATCAAACTCTCACCAAGCTGGGTACTTTTAATTTCATCCTACTGCAGTTCTGAGACCAAGGACAGACTAGGGTCAAACACCCAGGGTCCACTAAGAACTTTCTAAAGACAAGATTATGCAAAGACAAACAAGGACCACTTGCTCTTCTTCCATCTTAAGTATATTAGCTCTGGCACAGGGGTGGGGGGGTGCAAAACAGTGGATCCGGTTAGCAGTCGGACTTCATTTCCCAGCAGCCCTTGCCCACGTAATTTCCACTGAGACCCCACTAGTGGTGTGGCTGTGACAGCAAGGGCCAGGGTTTCCATGGAGACTGGCCCCAGCAGCACTGGCAGGGCAAGTGGCCAGGCAAGGAGCTGCTCTGGGGCCAAGGCTGGGATCTTGTAGTAGTGACAGCATGGTCTGGAGCCAGGGCAGAGCCGCAATCCACTGCCTGCATGGCCCTGCCCAGGGTATATGAGTAGCGGATCGAAGCTCTGCTCTGGACCACACTGCCACTGCAGCTAGATCCCTGCCCAGCC